ATGTCATATTGCATTACTTAGTTGTCATTAGAGATATGTAACTTTCTTCCTTCTTTCCTTATTTCCTTAATTCCTCCATCCTCCCTCTATTTCTTTGTCCCTTCCTCCGTCTTTCTTTCTTTAATGCCTACACATGTTATTAATTGGATTGGCAATAAGAGTAATTTTACAATATACAAATATAAATATAATATCATGTGTGTAAAAACATGCAGCATCCCATAGGTGGAGAAATTTTTTTTTCTTAAAAAATGTTGCATATAGGTTTTCTGGAAGAAAAAAAAAAGAACGAAAGAAAATAAAACAGGAAAGGTTTGTCCCTTGATATAAAAAAAAGAAAAAAAAGACCCCAAGACCCAGAGACTGATATTGGGGTTCAAACTTCAAACTGAAGATCAGAAAAGTAAAGCAGCTAGTTGCTAGCTCTTACTCTACCTCAGAATGAAAGGCAATACTGGCTCTACCAAATTTCAGAATGTAACCTCCCCACAGAGATTATGAAGAATCCTAAACTTCAATATTTTCCTGTTCTTAATGTGGCTGGAGTATGAATGCTTGATACTGATTATTGAAGATGTTGCTCCTATCTTTTACACCTCTCTAGAGCTGTGATTAATGGTGTGTGATCCTAGGTGCTGAAACCATCTTTGTTTGAATTATTTTTCTTTAGGGCTGGATCAATCTTGTCTATATCTGGGTGGCCTTGGTTACAGAGATCATCTATCCTTGGGCCATCTTTAATAAATCACAAATAATGTGTCACTACAAAGCTTATTTTTGTAATTCAGTGGCATAATGTTTTTTATTCACTATGAAGAAGTTTTTTTGTTAAAGCACTTTTTGAGTGATTTAATAAAGAGTTGAATATCCAATAGCTAGGCATAAGAGGCTAAAAAGGACTTCTGAGGATACAAACTCTGGGAACAAGAAAGGAAGAATTGGCCAGCAAGTACAGATGGAGTCAGTTGTACAGTATGGATTACAAGTAATAAGTCACATGGTAGAATATAGATTAATATAAACAGGTGAATTTAAGTTATAGAAGCTAATTGAGAGCAAGCCTAAGACAAGGTCAAGTATTCATAATTAGTAAGAAGTTTCAGTGTCATTAATTGAGAGCTAGTGGTCCAAAAAGATCTACTATCATGATGAACAAATGTCCTCCTTCAATAATAGTAAGAGGCACATTACATCCATGAAACACTATTAAACAAATTTATATTATACTCTCTGCTTCAAGAACTCCTAAGATATTTGTAAAACTTAGGTTACATCATCTATATCTAGTTATAACAATGTTAACAGAACTGTAAGACATATAATCTCCCAGCTAGAAGTGGAAAGCTTAGAAAATATGTTTAACAATGTTTAATTTTCTGATCTTTACAAAGTTATGGATAAATTGAACTTATTTGAAACAAATCTATATAAGTATATTGAATTCCCTTCCTCTGGATCTCATCTGCCATTTATTCATGAATGTTTCGATTTAAGATTAAATATGAAGTATCTTAGTAATGGAGAGATAGGCATTTTTATAGACATTGAATTCTTGAGTAAAATATTAACCATTCCTTTAAATGAGTCAACATAGCTTCAAAGCAATATTTGCTTGTTTGTTTCATAAATGATATTCAGTGAAACTCACAAGATGCCCAGTGAAATTCATAACTTACACTATTCATCAAAGAATGTGATACTGAATTCTCCATTTATAAGGTGACACCAGAGTTTGATTTCCAGTCTATTTTCAGATTTTTTACACTTGTCCCTTATGTGTACTTGCCCTAAACATTACATGAGTGCCTTCTGATTGCATTCTGTGAGATGATACAAGACATAGAAATAGAGTTCTCTCATCGCTTGGAATCATTTATGGGTTAAAAGTCCCCTCTCCTGGCTTGTGGTTATCAATGGTCCATAGTGACAAGAATTATCAAATTGCATAAGAGCTAGTATGAATCTCTGGCAGAAGAACTTAGCTTAAAAAGTGAGGGGGAAACATTGATTCACCTTTTTATCAACAGCAAAATGAGTGGGGGGGGGCAGTTGGCTCAAAAGAAGGTGATATTCCTCCAGGTAACCTTCATACAAGAGAATAGAGGGTCTAGGGATATAGGAACTGTGTAACATGCTTGTCATACCTATTGAGGATGAGAGTTTGAATCACTTTGACCCATGTAAAGCCTGAAAGTGTAGCACACAGTGGAATTCCAACACTCTGCTGACAATGTTGAAGTGAAGATTGGGGAATTTCTGAAAGCCCTTGGGCCAGTTAGCCTGCTTTATGCTGAAGCAAAGCCACATGTGCAAATTGACTCTGAAATTACTACCTGTCCTTACTCATTTCAAAATGCTGAAGCTTATTTCATTAAATTCCTTTCACAAGCCTCTGATATTTCAAAAGTATTTAAGGTACTTTAGGCTGAAGAAAAATTTTAGTGGTCTAGTACTTAGCAAGGAAGCTTAGCAGGCTACAGATGAGTGTAATTTTTTAACTTATTTTCTTTGGTTATTTTTGAGATTATAATATATATTATATACATATAATATATATATATAAAATATCATTTCCATCTTCAAAACTGTATACAAAACTCTAATTGTTCTCTTTCATATTCATTCTTATTTTATTAATTAATATTTGTTACATATATGTACATGTATATACATACATATTACTGAATACATTCTGTATAAACTGTATAATATTACTTCTATGGTTTAAGGGGCTGATTGTCTATCTCAGTAGTCAAATGCTTGCCTTTGTTCTAGGAACTACATATAAAGGCAATCATAACATTTTTGTTATCACTATGAATGTGATATGGGAATTATGAACCACTCCTTGAAAAAAATAAATAAAAAAAATTATTTTAGTGTTTTCTTTCAATTTTAAAAAGAAGAATGTGTGTCTCTAAGTGTGTGTAAGTGTGTAAGTGCGTATACACTTTTCAAATTGATATTATACATAGAAACATATGTGGAATTGGGAATAGATTAAAAATAAGTGATGTAAATGAATCCTTACATTGTATACTAAGATAGTTATTAGTAGTTGTTTCTGGATATATATATATATATATACATATATATATATATATATAATCTTATTTTACATATCAATCCCAGTTCCCCCTCCCTCTCATGTCCCACACGGACCACCCATTCCACAACCCACCCATTCCCCAGGGAGAGAAAGGCCTTCCATGAGAGGTCATCAATGTCTGTTACATCATTTGGAGGGGTGCTGGGCTCTCCCTTGTGTATCTAGGCTAAAAAGGAAGCCCTCCATGGGAAATGGGCTCCCAAAGTCCTTTTGTACACTAGGCATTAATACTGGTTCCACTGTTAGAGGTCTCATTGACAGTTCAGGCCTCTTAACTGACACCAACATTCAGGAGGCTTGATTCTGTCCAATGCTGATTCCCCAGCTTTAAGACTGGGGCTTGTAAGCTCCCACTTGCTCAGGTTAGCTGTTTCAATAGGTTTCCCCTCTATGGTCTTGACCCCTTTGCTCATCCCTCCTTCCTCTCTACAACTGAATGTCAGGAGTTCAACTCAGTGTTGGTCTCTGGATGTCTGCTTCTGCTTTCATCAGCTACTAGAAGAAGGCTCCAGGACGGCATTAAGGTGGTTATCAGTCTCATTATAAGGGAATGCCATTTAAGGTAGTGTCTCTACTCTAGCTTAGATTCTTAGATAGGGTCATCCTTGTGGACCTCTGGACATTTCCCTAGTGTCAGATATCTCTTTAAATCTATAATGGCTCCCTCTATTAAGGTATCTTTTTCCTTGTTCTCCTCTATTCCTCCCAATGAATCTTCATCCCTCATGTTTTCCTCCCCTTCTCTTTCTCTTAAGTTCCTCTCCCCTCACCCCATGCTCCCTATTTGCTCAAGAGATCCTGTCACATTCCCCTTCTCACGGTCCTAGCTTTTCAGGGTGTGTGAATTGTAGGTTTGTGATCCTTTTCTCTATACCTAAAATACATATATGAATGAGTACAATCCATGCTTGTCTTCCTGTGACTGGGTTACCTCACTCAGGCCATCTATTAGCCTATAAATTTCAAGATTTCATTATTATTTTTTCACTGAGTAGTAATCCATTGTGTAAACGTACCTCATTTTCTTTATCCATTTTTTTTTTTTGGTAGAGGGGCAGGTAATTTACTTCCAGGTTCTGCCTATTACAAATAATGTTGCTATGAACATATGTCCTTATTTGAACTGATGTCCTTATTTAATGAAACCACATCCTTTGGGTATATATGCCTAAGATTGTTATTTCTGGATCTTGAGATAGCCTGATTCTCATATTCCTGAGAAACCACCATACTGATTTCCAAAGTAGATATACAAGTTTTCATTCCCACCATCATTGAAGGAGTTTTCTCCTTTCTCCACATCTTCTCCACCATAGACTGTCATTGGTGTTTTTGATTTTTACACATTCTAACAATTCTAACATTCTAACAATTATGTAATGGTATTTCAGAGTTGTTTTGAATTGCATTTCCCTGATGGCTAAGGATGGTGAACAATTTCTTGTGTCTTTCACTGGGTTATTGAAAGCTTCCACCATAAGTCTATGGGGTTTTATGTGTGATTTGAAATTTAGTAATGTTTCTTTTACCAATGTGTGTGCCTTTGTATTTGAGGCATCGATGTTCAGAATTGACACTCCATCTTGATGAATTTTTCTTGTGATGAATATGAAATATTGTCCATCTCTTTTGAGTAATTTTAGCTTGAAATCTAATTTTTAGAAATTTAAATAGGTACACCAGCTTGTTCCTTAGGTCCATTTGATTGGAAAATCTTTTCCCAACTTTTTACTCTGAGGTAACATCTGTCTTTGAAATTGTGATATGTTTCTTTTATGCAGCAGGATGGATTCTCTCTTTGTATCCATTCTGTTAGCCTGTGTCTTCTTTTCTTTTTTTTGGGGGGGGAGCTGAAAATGTGTATATTTGGAATTAGCCAGCTGGACTCAGTTTAGATGATCCCAATTTTGTTAGCAACATCCATAGCATCATAATTGGAAGTCTTCTTCTCTCTGACAGGCCTTATAAGGGTGTTAATTTTGGCCACATTAATGTCACAGAGTTTCTTCACAGCCTGTTTGATCTGGTGTTTGTTGGCCTTGATGTCCAAAATGAACACAAGTATGTTGTTGTCTTCTATCTTCTTCATGGCTGACTCAGTGGTCAGGGGGAAGTTGATGATGGCATAGTGGTCAAGCTTGTTTCTCTGAATGTATTTGGGCTGGCTCCAGAGCCCAGAGGTGGGTGACTTCTTCTTTTTGTGGTCATAAACACCTTTCAGCAGTGCCTTCTTTGCTTTCAAGGCCTTTGCTTTAGCTTTGACTTTGTGAGGTGCAGGAGCTTCCTTCTTTGCTTTCTGTGCCATCTTGGTGTACCCTGTGTCTTCTTATAGGCCAGTTAACACTATTGATATCAAAGGACATTGTTGACCATTGGTTGTTAGTCCTTGTTTGTTTTGGATTTGTTGATGGTGTATGGATTACCCACCACCCCTCCTTTTTTGAATTTTAGTAAAGTGGGATTATCTATTGCCTATGTGCCTGTTTTTTTGTGATTGTAGCTAACTTCCTTGGGTTGGAGTTGTCCTTTAGTACTTTCAGTAGGACTGATTTGTTGATATGTATTGTTTAAATCTGGTTTTGTTATGGAAGATCTTGTTTCCTCCATCTATAGTTATTGAAAACTTTGCTGGGTATAGCGTTCTGGTGTGGCATCTGTGGCCTCATAGTATTTGTAGAACATTTGTCATCTATCCAGGACCTTCTGATATTCAGAATTTCCATTGAGAAGTTGAGTGTAAGCCTGATAGGTCTGCCTTTATATGTTACTTGACCTTTTTGTTTTGCTGTTCTTAGTATTCTTTCTTTATTCTGTATGTTTGGTGTTTTGATTATTATGTGGGAAGAGGACTTTTTCCTTTTTTTTTTTTTTTTATTTGGTGCGGTCTATTTGGTGTTTTGTAAGCTTCTTGTACTTGCACATGCATGCCTTTCTTTTTGTTGGGAAGGTTTTTCTTCTTTGATTTTGTTGAATATGTTTTCTGTTTCTTTAAGCTGGTCTTCTTCACCTTGTTCTATAACCTGTATTTTTAGGTTTTGTTTTATCATGGTATGCCATATTTCCTGGATATTTTGTGATAGCGATTTATTGGATTTAGTATTTTCTTTGGTAGATGACTCTATTTTCTCTAGTGTATCTGTAACATCTGAGATTCTCTCTTCCATCTCCTATATTCTGGTGGAAATAATTATGTCTGTAGTTCCTGATCATTTACCCAGCTTTTGTATTTCCAGCATTTCCTCATTCTGTATTTTCTTTATTGTCTCTATTTTAGCTTTCAAGTCTTGAACTGTTTGAATTGTTTCCTTCACTTGTTTTTCTTTTCTTTACTTTTTTCCTTGCTGTCTTTAAGATGTTTGTTTATTTCTTATTTCTTGCAGTTATTGGTTCCTCTTTTCCTTTATTTCTTGCAATTTTTTTCATTTCTTTCTTATTTTCTCTTTGAAGGTCTCTATCATGTTCATATTGTTTGTGATTTCATTCTCTCCTTCATCTCTGCTGGGATGTTCAGGTTTGCTGGTGTAGAGTCCCTAGACTCCTGTGGCACTATGTTGCTCTTCTTGTTGAATGTGTTTTCATATTGTCATCTTCCCATCTCTTCTTCCACTGGTTTCTGGTAGAGTTTCTCCATCCCCTCTTTCTTGGTGGGTGTAGGTGGGGCTAAGACTGTGATGTGATAAGACTCTGGATGGTTCAGCCTGTCAGGATGGAGGTACTATGCTCACAGTTGCCCAGTCAGGAAACTCCAAAGAAGGTGAGGGGAACATGGACTGGAGAGGGGCCCACACTCACATGTCCTGGTGGGAGTAGGAAGGACTAAGACCCAGGTTAATTTATTATGTCTCATTTATATCCTAAATATGATTCTAAATTCTAAGTTTCACATTCTTGAATTACAAAAAGAAAGTTTTCTATTGGGTGCAAGCCAATAATGTTAAATTTAAAAAAGTAAAGACCAAATTTTACAATGCAGGAATAATTGTCCTTGTTAGTAAAAAGCAGCATGAGAATATTAGGCTTCTATCAATATGTGCTGAACAGTTTCATATGTATTTAATATGTATTAGTGTTCCTCCAAAAGGATATAAGCAACTAAAGGAAATATAATTTATAATGTTACAAAAAGTTTGAGTGGATGGTTTATGGAAGGTTTAGATGGAGGCCAGAGAAGAGGGAAAGTGAGGTCCTTATATTTCATTTATTAATATTTCATTAAAAATAAAATAAAAATTTTAGCACACAAAGACTTTTTACCATTGATTGCTTTTAAAATAATCGCCTCTTGACACAGTCACTCACAATGGCTCACTTGTGCAACAGAAAGCTTTTTAATTATTAGAATTATAATTTATCCTTCTAGTGTCATAAGAAAAAATGATTAATTACTTGGAGCAATCAATTTTACAGATAATCATAGTTCTTTATTTCAACCATAAAAAGGGTTGCAGTTAAGCAAATGCATAAAACATGAAGACTATTCATTCTGTTAGTATAAATAAAACCAGTATTGAAGTATTTCTTTCCACATATTTGCTTAAAATCTGCCTCTTTTTGGTGAGTAACTCATAATGAGATTTTTAAGTTCAATTGGCTCTTAACACAGGAATGGAATTTTCAACAAACAGTATATGGAAAAATGGCATATTTAAATTATTCACATTTAGAAATTTCAGTTCTGTGAAATTTATAATGTGTTTTAATATAATAAATGTTATAATAAATTAGTTAAAGAATGCATTATGAATTAAAATAGATGATTATTTTAAGCACTTGAAGACCCAAGGCAGAGTTCTTTATAAGTAGTCCTCTTTCAATCACCATTATAGCTATGCAAATTTAAAACTATTTCAAACAATATTATAGATTCATCTTGAATGTCTAATCCATGATTCATACCAGAATAACATTTCCATAAAATTAATTTATTTATTGAGCTTCAAGTATTTTGAAATGCTCTGTATTATTATAAAATATAGGTAAAATTAAGAACTGGTTAGTACTGATAGGCTATATTGTAAAAACACCTGCTGGTTCTAGTTAATACATATAAAAGCCTGAAATAAGAGGTAAGAGGACAGATGGGTGTGGGGTACAGCATTTCACATTTATTTACAGACATATTTGAAAGCCAAAATTGTAGTATTTCATTTTTGTAATTTGAAATAGGGGTCACACAATATAGCAGTAAACTGCTTTCTGAATTATCCTGGCCATGTGATTTTTCATTCCTGGACCCTGGGTAAAAATGGAAAGAGAGAAGTGACTCCATAAACCTGTCCCATGAGTCCCACAGGAAAAGAAAGCATGTCCCTCCCAACACATGTCATGCCGTGAAGAAAACATGTGTCTTTCAAGCATGTACAATAATACTGAGTATAACTAAAACTAAAAATATGTAAAATGAAATAGAAATACATTAATTTTGTATGTAGTTGTGGGTATTATCATTGAAATGAGACTTTCAATACTTTTGGCAACTTTTTTGAGACTATTTTATGGTGTTAAGGAATGGTCAACCTTACAAATGCAATTTAAATTTCTTCTGATGGGATAATAAACTATGATTCCTAGGTTAATTAATTTTGAGATATTATTAATTTAATTGGTCATTTCTATTTTTCTCCATTTATTTTATTTGCATACTTTGAAATATGGCATGTGCAGACAAACTTAGATACACATAGAGGCCAGAAGAGGGCCTCTGGTTTCTTGATCTGGACTTAACAACAAACCACCTGCAGTCCTCTGGAAAAGCAGTGTGACCTCTTAAAAGCTGAGCCTTATCCAGCCGCCAGGGTTTATTTTTTTAATGAAAAATAAAGATCTAATGTAAGCTATTTACTTCATATGTTATCATTTGTCAGAGTTACTAATTTGTCAAATGTCTACTACTCTGATGTTTTGACTGTATTATATCCTCCATTTTTTTAAATTTATCTACATATTACAAATATGGCCATCTGAATTTCACATTTGATTTAATATCTTCATGTAGAAATAGACTCTAAACTATATGCATAATGTTTAAGAGACTCATTAATATTATCTCATTAATTTTTAAAAATGCAAAAGTTCTACTCTAATGAATTACCTAAAAGCAGCATGAAGAATAAATAGGTGGGTTTTAGTGATGCTTAGAAATAATATAGGAGGCATCAGCAGACCAGAAAATTGAGGAATTTTGGAATAGATAAAGCTAACGGGAGATGTCATTCTGTAAATATGTTTCTCTTATTGGTTTATGAATAAAGCACTGTTGGCAAATAGGAATGCAAGATAGGTGAGACTAGGAGTCAAGGGGAATCCTAGGAGATGTAGTTGAGAGGAGTCAAGAAGTAGGCCTTGGGAAAAGTATCTGAACCCTTTCTCTAGGACTAGAAAATACTTAGATTAATAGAAATAAGTTAATGTTAAAGACAGAGCTAGCCAATAAGAAACACTAGTAACAGGCTAACAGTTTTATAATTAATACAGTGTCTCTGCATGTTATTTGGAGCTGACATAGCTGCTGGACTAGGCTAATGGGAAAGTGCATGTAACATAAAGCATATGAAATCTATTGCCAAAGAAGCTAATTGTTTTCTGTTACTGAACATGGGTCTAGAAACCTGCTGATCTGAGCAATCTGAACCTCAGAGCATATCTGGAATGACTGCAACTAAGCATATTTCCAATCTGTAGTCAATGAAAAACTACACCCCACCACTTCAGCTGGATTTGACAAAAGAGAATATGAATATGATGTTTTAAATTTTTATCTTTTTTTTAGTAATTTTTCATGACATGGTTTGTATATGTATCTTTGGAGCCTTTTCTGGAACTTGATTTGTAGACCACACTGGTCCCAAACTCACAGAAATCTGGCTGCCTCTTCCACTTAAATGCATGTACTACCACTGCCCAGCTAAATTCATACTTTTGTGGTAGAAATTACTTCAGAAGTAAATTGGTAAGTAGGCTGCTGTGTAGATCAGTAGGAAACACAAGAATAACTGGAGGAGAAAATAAATAAAATAACAGCTTAAGCAAGAATTTCTTTGCAAAGACAAACTCTCCTAGATTCTTTATAATTGTTTTTATTAGAAAGCTTTATAATTAAATTTATTTTATGCCCTAAACAATTTCCCCTCCTTCCTGTGCTTCCATTATTTCCCACCATCTCCCCTCCCCCAATCTACTCCTCCTTCATTCTTGGCACACCTCCCAGGGATATCAACAAAACATGGTATATCATGTAACAGTAGAACTAAGCACCTTGCTTGTATGAAGGCTTTTCAGGGCAACCTAGTATTGGGATTAGGTTCT